TAGTTTTGTTAAGGTGTACCGCTGACCAGCAAAATACTGTATCGCGCCCCAAAAAACGTATTTCCGCGATGTCGCCTGATCATGAAGTGATTTCCGAATCTGTCACTGAAACTCGATACCCGATTTTGACCTCAACGCACTGTTGTCACGTTTGGCTCGTCCTACGCGACAACCAGACAGCAAGCTTTATTTGCAAGGCTATAACATCGTTAAGCATTGTAAAAGAACAGGGTAAGTTTGAAAACCGAAAGCTTCTGCTCGGTGGACACGTATAAATCCTCGCTAACATGCGGATGTCTTATTTGTATACGGTTTGCTGGTTTGTCGTCATGTCTGTTATTTTATCTTATTACTACATTAGTATCGTCGGAGATACTCATGAGAGATTGACGGATGCCGGCGATATTAGTATGAACACTATGAACAAGAATGTTTCTTTTAAGGTGCTACAGCGAGTACAAAATGCACTGAAGGAAGAACAGTTGTCTAGTATTGGCTTTGACGACGCTTTGATGTCAAGAGCAATTCAGGCTGGTAATCTTACTCGCTTAAAGAACGTTCTCAAGAAAGTTTTAAGAGGTGAAGACATCAATCTATTGGTCATTGGAGGCTCTAACAGCGCTGGCGGAAAATTAGGACTTGACGAGAATAGCTTGGATGGATTATATTTTAAAGTGTTCGCGAAATGGTGGAACAACACCTTTGGCAAAGCGATCAAGTCCTTCGTGAAAGAGATTCAGTTATCAATCGGAGCCACCGGAAGCCCTTTCTTTGCGTTTTGCTACAAAACGTTCATTGTAGAAGGTGAGAAAATCGATATTGTGTTAATAGAAATCTCAACGAACGACTGCAGATTTCGGACAGCGAAACATTTGGAGCAGTTAACTCGTCAAGTGCTTAAGTATCATTCAGAACCCGCGCTATTTTATATTAATCTGATAGGTAATGTGGGTTACAAGGCCAAGCCGCTTAATCCAACGTGCAGAAACCTAGAGACTTTTGGACAAACACAGCTTGCTCGCCATTATGAAATTACGTCGTTCAGTTTAAAGGAGGTATTTTGTCGCAAGGACGAAAGAGGTCAGTGGAAAATAATTTTAACAAACATGACTGGGTCCGATGGTAACCATATTGGCCTCAAGGCGCATGCTCTAGTAGCTTCCCTGATGATTAAACATGTGAGGAGCGTTACACAAGAACTTATCGATGACGTCTATAATGTGGATGGAGGACACGGAAGTTCTGCTTTACCGAAGTTCTTGCTTATCGAACGTGAAAGCGGAGCTTTGAAAAAGCCTTTGTGCTGGACTGGGAAAACGCCAAATGCTTTTAAAAATCTTCACCATCCAAGTCTTCAACTTGAAGTTATAAACAACAGAAGCTTTTCATCGTGTTTTCAAGTGCGCGGAAAAAACATGAATGCTAAGAGTGTGTCCAAAGAGCTTCGTACCGATTCTCAGGGAGGTTGGTGTGCGTCGAAAAGCTTCAGCACCCTTCAGCTGAAGATCTATGTTCCAATGATTGCTGTAAATAGTTCCCGAAGAACACGATCGGTGATAGTTTTAAGTAGGTTCTATAGCAGAGGCCAGGCTGAGATATGGCTGGATAACAACAAAGACAAAGCTATTAAGACCGACTCAAACTCAAAACAGGATCGGTATGATACAATCGCAACAAGAGTGAACCCAGGCTACCATACGATCACGGTCAGAACTTTACGGGACGGAGTGTTTATGGTTTCTGGAGTGCTTGTTGGACCCCCTGACTTTGGATTTGGGACTGATGCGTTACACTGTTAATGAGCAATGAAAGTGAACAACAACAATAAATAAATCTTTATTTTCCTTCATTTTAAAATTACATGTTATTTGTACCGCGGATAGCAAGTGCTAATCTAGGCGGGCCATGAATCGCTTGTACATATAACTAGATTAATCAGAAAACAATAACGACAATTAATTTAAGATTAAAGATATAGTGGACATTATTATCGTTTCTGCATATTACGACCACTAAAATAAAATAAGGGGAGAATAATAAAAGACGACATTGATTTTAATTACTTAATGCCATTTCAGATACATACAGATACTTAAAGATAGTAGACGCAATCTGAACTGTACTGTAGGCAATAACTAAGTTACTTCACGCTGTAGTGGTTAGTACGGTACAGTCCAATTTCAGTATTTACTGTAACCATATTCTCAATTAGCCAATCAGAAGCCGTACCTACTTTCCGGATATCCTGCAATATCAAGTCACTGTCCTGGTGTGGCTAAGATATCATGGTCACTTGGCCGAATTTGGGTATTAAGGTAAATACCTAATCGTACCTTTTTGGTACGCTTCGGCCGCATATCAGAGTCGTTTGGCCTCGCCAAGGGTATTTTTAAATACGAAGGAAGTACGCTCTTTTGTAATAATGTCTTTTTATTCAAAACAACTCCACAAAAATGGTAGCTGAACTGCTAGTAAGAAAATATAAGAACATGAATTTCAAGATACCGACCTACTTTT